CTAAATTTAATTAATTTTGATTCTCTCCACTATAAAAAAAACGGAATGACCACTACTTTTGAATGTAGCTGCCTATTTTTTGGTTGATGGCTTGTGAATAGTCTAAAGTAAAAAATGAGAATCAGCGCAATACATGAGGATATGATAAAGCGGCAATATTTAGTATAATTATAATCATCTACTAAATAATATATAGTTGTGAATGAAAGTAATTACAATTTATGTCAACAATTTTATACATAAATAATACATCACATTTATGATCCACTAAGTATCAAGGTCTTATTAGACAATTATAGTAGAGAAAATAATCACTTCATTGTCATAGTCGTACTGAAAGTATTCAAATTCATTGGTCTCACTAATATATCTACTAGTTTTTCTTTTAAAAATTAAACTCTCATTATTGCATTATGAACCTAGTGGTTCTTCTCAAGAAAAAAAATGGTAAGTCGCACAAAACTCCCACTAAACCTCTAATAACTTCTAAAATCGCACTAAACCTCCAATAATTATTGGAGATACAAAAAAAAAAAAACCAAACAAGTTTCTCCATTTTGTAGATAACCCTGATAGCAGCGTTAGTCCCCACTTTGCATTGTTGACAAGTTTAGATTCTAAATGTTAACTGATGCAATGATGAGATTATCGATAAAATGTTAAAACTTATTGGTAGTTTTCTGCAATTCAATAGTTATTGGGTGTTTTCTATGATTTTAGAAGTTGTTGGGGATATACTGCGAAATGCCAAAAATTCTTGAGAGTCTAATGTAATTTACCCAAAAACAAAAGAAGAATATAATCCAAATAAAGCTACACGATAAAATTATCTAACTAGATATAATCTAATTATAAGAAAAGTCCAGGGCTACCTTTCTCTAAGCAACTTAAGCCATGGAAGCACATAAACCATGTAAGAGTTGCCAAAAGGAATCCCCACAGCCTTGATCTTGCACTCATTTTTAGGAGAGATAACGCAGCGCGAAAGTAAAAACCTCAAAATCCACCAAAGATGTTCTCTGAATCCACAAAGAATGATCTCCGAATCCACGAAGAAATATTAAAATAGAAATTTTATTGATGAAAAGATATTATTCTTTGGGGTTACATAACTCTTCTTAAATAGAAAAATAAATAAGACTCCTAGTAAGACTAGAATTAAAAAAATAAGAAGTAATAAATTCTATCCTAAAAGACTCTCTATAATAGAGGAAACAAATCATGAATTAAAATTGAATTTGTTTCCTAATCTAATTTGATTCTAATATTAAATTTATTTCCTAATCTAAATAGACTCCAATTTATTACTAAAATAAACTAAAAGCTAATTATTTTCGGATTTCAGCAAAAAGTGGGTATTACTAATGAGATTTTAAACTTCTAACAATTTAGTTGGCTCCGTCTCATTGAGATAGGTGATTTACATATATAATATGTCAAAATCTGCCATCTGGTTTTGAAGATATGATTGTTTCTTTACGAAAGTCAATAATACGTATAAATCTATATTTAGCTTGTGATTGTCCGAATCCTCCATGAAATTATCTGTTAAGCGTTCTACATCAGTCTCTCTTTGTGGAAAGCAGCTCGACCTTGAGCTTATATTTGTTAGAATAGTAGCTTCATTAATAACTACTTTTCTTCTCTTGCAACGATCAGCATCCGCCTTGTATTTAGCATTGATTTTCTCTATTTATTCCTTTACCTCCAATACTCGGACTTCTTTTGTACCAAACTTATGTATGAATCTTTCTCATGACATGTGTATATAACTGGCAACATGTGACCCTGTAGTTGACATGAAACTTGTTGGATCGAGGAATAGCCTAGGGGAGGGGGGGAGGGTGAATAGGCTATGACCAATTTATAAATTTTAAATTCAGCCAAACAACCAAACAACCATGCAGATATATCAAATCACAAATGCAGATAGTTATAATATACAAAAAGCAATGCAAAATATAAAACACATACAAATGTACCCAGGTTCGGCCTCTACGCCTACGTTCTGCAACCAGAATCAATTAGCAAAACAGTTTCACAACCCCTTACACCCAGTAAGATTGGCTACCCACCGCAACCGTCCTCCCCGGCATGATTCGTTGGTTGCCGCCACAATGTAAACTGAATCTACTAACAATTCCCATGAACTACAACCTTGTAGTCCATAACCCAACCTAAAAAGATCTAGAGTCCAAAATAAGTGTAAAAGACAATACAGATCGACAACGAATAAAAATAAAAGGAACAAAGTTTAGAGAAGCTCAATATTATCTTTGTCGCATCGATGTAGAATTTTTTGAAGTAGCACTCACTGTAAACTAGTATTGTTACATCTGGCTCTGATTTTGATTCACACAACTTCTGACGGATCACAAAACGGAGATTTCTTCAAATTTCTACGAATTTTTGAGTGAAGTCTGTGCAAGGAGGAGGATCTGCGCATTCTATTATATTTGTCACATAGATCTAGAATTTTCGAAAGTAGCACTCAATATGAAACTGATATTGGTGTGTCCGGCTCTGAGTCTAGTTCACACAGCTTCTGATAAATCATAAAACAAAGGTTTTTACGAATTTCTATGAATTTTTGAGCGAAGCCTATGCGAGGAGGAGTATCTGCGAATTCTGTTATATTTTGCTCACTTTTTTGTTAACTCCCTACCATCATAAACAGCCTTTAAGTTGGCTTTTCTAACCCTAATCTGCTTAGGATTTAATTCTTCACCTTGGATATGACATGTGGCACAATCTGCGGCCATAGAAAAGTCAAAACACCCATAATAACTCTCTGTACACATACAGGTATATATTAATTATATATTTGTTATAAATTGAATTAATAAATACATATATATATATACTTGCATATTTATATATATAATCCTTTTCCGTTCAACCTGCAACCTGCACAACTCAACACACAAATCAGAACATTCATAAGGGTTTGTTATTATCAAACAATGTTTGTAGACAATCATACCCAACAATCTCCCCTTTTTGATAATAACAAAACCTAGAAGTTAAGATTGATTCTACATTAACATGTCATGTGTTGAGTGCGTACCTTCGTGAAGCATAACATGCAAATAGTATATCAAATAAACCCAAATTGCTTCCCATATTGACATGCTCCCCCTAAAACCATGCTCCCAGTCATGAAAACAATTTCATCACATTTTTAGAACAATTTGAAATAACCACCAATCTTAACCTCTCTCCCCCTTTTGTTTTCATCAAAAGCATATAAAGCAATAGAAATAGTCATATGAGAAGAAAATTTTGTACGTATGATCAAGAGATGACATAAAGACACATATGATTAATCAAAGCATACGTCAAATCATGAATCAAAATCTTCATGTGCTCAAAAGGTGTAGGTGAGAGATGTAAAATGATTGGAAGCATGATTAAAATCGCAATGAGGTTTTTAAAAGAAAGAATTTCCAACAAGGTTACCACTTTTCCCGCAAAAGATTCAAAACATGTACTTATATAAGAGTTACGTGTCCTCAACTCATTAAGAATGAGATCAAGATACTCACATCCAAGTATAGCTATATAGGACACTTATATGTGGATGGAGTAGAGCTTGATGGATATATATACATCGACTCTAAATATTTGCAATTCTTAGTACGGTTGAATATCCTTGAGTTATGTAACACCCTATAGACCGCATCCATTTTTCATGCGAAGCAATTTAATATGGTTTTTCTTTAACTCCATTGCTTTTTCTTTTCATTGAAGTTCATGCTTTTATTTTCATCTAAAAGGTGTAAATCACACATTCTCTAAGTAAGCATGTTATGAAATATATGACAATCATATTCAAACATCTTTCTCCAATTCTGTTCCTTTTGTACCCTCACGAGCAAAAATAATTAAGATTCTATCAAAATTATCTTGTGGTAAGCAGGAGATGTAAGAATCATAAAACGACTATTATGTAATATGCCTACGAAATCATAAAAATCAAAGTATGTCATTAATTGATCTTGGCATAAAATTCAAATCTCACACTCTTATTTTATAGTTTAAATGTTTTTAATAAAAATCAAAAGTTCATCTCAGTCACTTCTAGAAAGTTTTTTTTAACAAGCACACAAAAGAAAAAAGGATCAAGCACAAAAAAAAAACGAAACAAGCACAAAAAGAAAAAATTAATCATAAAGTTTCTAAAAATATGTACAAGGGTAATATCACATTCTCGTACTAATTATTTGTGAATAATTTTCAAATCTAGATGGAGACGACAAAATCGATCAGTAGCTAGGGGTTTCATAAAAATATCAGCAAGTTAAGATTCTGTGGGAATAAACTCAACGCAAATGTTACCTTTAGCTACGTGATCTCTCAAAAAGTGATGTCTAACGTTCACATGTTTAGTACGAGAGTGATGGACAGGATTATTTGAAAGATCATTGGAACTTTTACTATCACAGTTCAATGGAACATTCGTGTAAGTTAAGCCATAATCAGAAAGCGTTTGCATCATCCGCAAGACCTAAGTGCAACAACTGTTTATGGCAATATATTCCGCTTAGGTCGTGGATAGAGCAGTGCTGTTTTGCTTACGACTTGACCATGTAACTAAGGAATGTCCCAACATAAAACAAGTGCCACTTGTGCTTTTCTTATCCACGTGACTACCCACATAATCAGCATCAGAATAAGCAGAAAGCGCAAAGCTATCACAAGATGGGTACCACAAACCAAAGTTCTGTGTGTGTATCAAATACCTAAAGATTCTTTTTACAAGATGGGTACCACAAACCAAAGTTCTGTGTGTGTATCAAATACCTAAAGATTCTTTTTATCTCCTTAACATGTGACTCCTTAGGTTTAGCAGTTCTGTGTGTGTATCAAATACCTAAAGATTCTTTTTATCTCCTTAACATGTGACTCCTTAGGTTTAGCTTGAAAGCGTGCACACAGACATACAACAAACATGATATTGGGTCTAGAGGTTGTTAGATAAAGAAGAGATCTAACCATACCTCTATACTTCTTTTGATCGTAGTCAGTTCCATTTTCGCCATTGGTGAGCTTCGTGCTTGGACTCATAGGTGTGTCACTAGGCTTCAATTTCTCCATCCTAAATCGCTTGAGTATCACTTTCACGTACTTTGATTGGGATATAAAAATTTCTTCATCAATTTGGCTCACTTGAAAACCTAAGAAAAACTTTAGCTCCCCCACCGAGCTCATCTTGAACTCATCCTGCATAACCTTTTCAAACTTTTGGCAGAGAAGATCATTAGTAGCACCATATATAATATCATCCACATAAATTTGTATTACCAAAAAGTCATCACAATCATGCAAAAAAGAACAAAGTATTATCAACACACCCCTTTTTAAAATTATTTTTTAAAAGATATGAATATAGACGATCATACCAATCCCTAGGAGCTTGCTTAAGACTAGACAATGCCTTTTTAAGTTCAAAAACATGATTTGGAAACTCAAGACTCTCAAATCCTGGGGGTTGCTCAACAAAAAACTTTTCTTTCAGAAATCCATTTGAGAAAGTATTTTTTATATTCATTTACTTAAGCTTAAAACCCTAAAAAGACGCAAAGGCAAGCAATATCATAATGGCTTCTAGCCTAGCAACTGGAGCAAAAGTTTCATCAAAATCAATTCTCTCAATTTGGTTATAACTCTTAGCTACCAATCTAGCTTTGTTCCTAATCACATTACCGTTATCATCCAGCTTATTATTGAACACCCACTTTGTACCAACCACACGATAATCCTTTGGTTGAGGAATGAGTGCCCAAACCTCATTTCTATCAAACTAGTTTAGTTCTTCTTGCATGGCTATGACCCAACAACTATCATTAAGTGCGGTTTCTTCATCTTTATGCTCTATTTCATAAATAAATCCACTATAAATGCAGAGTGCATACAAGTTGTTATTAAAGGATAAATGTGTACGAATACCTGTCGTTGGATCACCGATAACCAGTTATGGTGGATGATTCGGGTTGTAGCTCAAGTCTTCTGGTCTCAAATTATCTTTTGAAGTATTTTGTGCGCCTTCATCATTGTTCGTAGAATTTGTAGGCACCTACAAACCTTCAGCATTGGTTTCTTCTTTTTCTCTGTCGGTATCTTCATTGATCCTGCGAGGGAAAAATGGATTATTAGATTCATCAAATTTCACATGAAGAGATTCAGTAATTTAGAGAGTTTGTTTAAGAAAAACCATGTAAGCTTTGCTTCTTGTAGAATATCCAATGAACACTCCTTCTACGCTTTTTGACACAAAAGTCTTAGGTTGATTACCCGTGTTCAATACAAAACATTTGCACCCAAACACTCTAAAATAGGAGATGTCAGGAATCCTACCATGGCATAACTCATAAGATCTCTTATCTATAATTGGTCTTAACATAACTTGATTGCAAACATAGAAAGCGGTATTCACTACTTCAGCCCATAGGGACAAAGACGATCCATACATGCTTAGTATACTCCTAGCCATTTCTTGTAATGTTCGATTCTTTCTCTCAACTACCCCATTTTGTTGAGATGTTCTAGGAGAAGAGAATTCATGTGAGATCCCATGTTTAATGCAAAAGTTTTCAAATTTGATGTTTTCAAATTCACCACCATGATCACTCCTAATACTAATAATAGAAATTCCCTTTTTGTTTTCAACTTGCTTATAAAATATTTTGAAGTAATCAAAAGACTCAGATTTTTTGGTTAAGAAATACACCCAATTATATCGATAATAATATCATCGACCAAAACTGAGCATTACCTCTTTCCTCCTGTACTAGCACCTTAGTGGGTCCAAAAAGATCCATGTGAATCAACTTTAAGACTCTTTTAGTAGCAACAACTTGTAGACCAGCAAAGGAGGCTCTAGTTTGCTTACCTTTCATGCATGCCTCGCACAACTTACCATTCTCGTATGTTTGATGTGGGATTCCACGAACTAGCTACTTACTTTCCAGTTTTTGTAGCAATCCCATGCTAGCGTGTGCCAACCTTCTGCACTATAGGGCTGCTTCCTCTTCCCTGCCATGTGGAAATCGCACTTTGAGTTTTTTTGCAGGAGATAGAATATAAAATTCTTTCTCTCCAGCATTGGGTTCGTCTTTACTAGATAAGACACAACCTTTCCATAACCACAATCCATACTTTTAACGCATGGGGGAATTTATCTCAACCCCTAAATAGAGATAAGTCTACGCCTAACACGCGTTGCCAGTTAATCATGTCTGCGGGAATTTATCTCGATCCCTAAATAGAAATAAGTCTACACCTAACACGCTTTGCCAGATGATCCGTTCCCGTGAAAACGATAAAGTATATGTATTCAAAATCATAGCATCAAGTCTAAGAAAATTTATTCTCTTAGCGCAACGTTACATGTGAAACTGGTTTTAACAATTCACATGCTAGTCCGATTCAAACGGTAATCGATAAAGGCGCATCAAATCCATTGAGGGCTGAGGGTTTGTCAAAAATCCTATGAGCATCCCATGAGGGATGATTTAAGTCTATGTATTCAAAATCATAGCATCAATTCTAAGAGAGTTTATTCTCTAGCATAACGTTACATGTGGAACAGACTTAAATAATCTGCTTGCTAGCCCGATTCAAATGGTAATCGGTAAAGGCACACCAAATCCGTTAACGGTTGAGGATTTGCCAAAAATCCTATAAGTATTATGATTATTTGTCCCATATGGTATGAAAATAATAGTAAAAAGAGAAATACGCTAAGTAAAAGACTTTGTTTTCATCAATAAATTCCAATCAAAATGAAGATACAAGAGTGAAGGCTATCAATCCGAATGTAATCTACGACTGAGAATCTGAAGCTCTATCCTAATGAGCTTATCTACATAAGTCTGCTCAAGCTTAGCGTATAGATCAGCTCGGATGGAATCTTCTGAAGTGTCTAATATCCTTGTAGCTTCGCTTCTTAACTTGGCCAGGTTCTTCTGTGCAGTCTCCAGCTTCTCAAGTGCCTGTTTTCGGGAACTTTTAGTGTCTGCTAGTTCGTCTTCAAGAACGGCACGAGATTATTTGACGTACTTCAGGGCCTTTTTAAGATCAACTATCTCCTCATTGGCTGAGGCTATAGAGCTAAATAATTCAACCCTAGCCTTGTCCTTCCTCGAGAGATTGGCTATCATCTGCAATACAGAACCCTCATGTGACTGGCGTTCACTCCCAATAGATACTCTGGTGTCATGCTATTGCTTTAGCTTGGACTCCAACTGAGTAGCCATAAAAGAAGAAACGCCTTTAGCCTTCAACTCCCCCAACTCTTGGAATTCATGCTCCAATACAACGAAATCTGCAGTGAGGGAATCAGCTACTCTGAGTATCCCTCCTCTCTAATCATCGTCATAGAGGGGGCAAGAGATCGCCTAAACTGATCAAAACAATATCCATGATGAAGGATCTTCTTAATCATTCTGCCCATAAAGGTAACGAAACTATCGAGATCCATGCAGAATATGTCTTTGCTTGGATCAATATCAGACTATAAAGCCATGATGCGCTTGTATGGGGACGATAGAAGCCCTACAAATAATTTTGCAAAGCGATAAGAAATTCTAAAATATCATCTGAAAACTTTGAGCAAGTTATGAACTTACTAACGCTAGTAGAAATCCCTTCAGTTCGACACTCTATGCTCGGCTCCACCAATCCTACCTTGGAAACTAACAGAATTGTGGTAGACATAATAGTCGTCTGTATATCGACTCCTCGGGATGATCTCGCGATGTCTGTAACCATCAGATCTAAAGGAACAGTAGCCTAAAGCTGAGAACTAGGTGGCTGAGCTGTAGCCATGGTTCCCTCTAATGATGAAGGCATAGAACCCTCAAGATGGTCAGAAACGTTGTTGATTGTAGTTATATCAGCCCAAGTAGCTGGTCCTACAATTAAAGCTCCCTGTGGTTAAGTAAGAGTAAAAAGAAATTAACAAATAAAGAATGACGATCTCTAGATTAGATGTATAACCATAGATGAACCACCCTCAATGGATGGTCCTGCGATCTCACGAGCGGCTTGCTCTACCAACATATCAATGAACAAGTGATCAGATTCTGAGAAGCTCGTCGCTGAGACAAATGTATGTTCACTCGATCCTCTGGTGTCCACACCATGGAAAATATTTTCCTCAACTGTCCTCTCCATTGTGGCACCTACACAAGAGCCTAAATGTTGAGTAGAGAGAAAGAAGTTAGAATACATAATAGTGGGAATGAGATTCACCTCTAGCAGTAGTAACAGGTTCTGTTACCCCCCCGTATTCTTTAATTTGTCTAAAAGAGAATGAGGCACGAAAATGATTAAAGGGGAACAAGTTCTGAATTTCTTAACTTCCTTAATACCACTTGAATGGTGTACTACCGGTGTTAGATATACCTAGACTTAGAACCCTCGACTCAATACTGGTACCCTGGTTAACAGCTACACTAGCCTCAGCATGCATGAGCTCTTCATCAATAGCCTCACACATCTGCCGCACGAAGCTCGGGCCTTCAAAATGGGTAAAGTTGGAGAATATAGAGTCGTATGGGAATTCACCTTCTCTACGACCCCCTGAAAACATAGGACATAATTAAGTCTAAAGAATCCATAAGAGAACTAGTTAAAGGTTATATAGTAGTGAAACGTTACCTTCTTCTCCACTGGTAGCTACATTGCCACGTAACTCTGCATCGCGAGCGCGTGGATCAGTATATGACTTACGCACTTATTTTTGTCAAAAGTTATATTTTTCATTGTAGTCAAACCTGTTACACCGTTTATCGATTATAACTTTGAAGAAAACAAAGAAAAGTTGATCTTTTTATAAGATCTTCTTACAATGAAAAATAAGATTACAACTTTAATGGTCAGAAACGTTGTTGATTGTAGTTATATCAGCCCAAGTAGCTGGTCCTACAATTAAAGCTCCCTGTGGTTAAGTAAGAGTAAAAAGAAATTAACAAATAAAGAATGACGATCTCTAGATTAGATGTATAACCATAGATGAACCACCCTCAATGGATGGTCCTGCGATCTCACGAGCGGCTTGCTCTACCAACATATCAATGAACAAGTGATCAGATTCTGAGAAGCTCGTCGCTGAGACAAATGTATGTTCACTCGATCCTCTGGTGTCCACACCATGGAAAATATTTTCCTCAACTGTCCTCTCCATTGTGGCACCTACACAAGAGCCTAAATGTTGAGTAGAGAGAAAGAAGTTAGAATACATAATAGTGGGAATGAGATTCACCTCTAGCAGTAGTAACAGGTTCTGTTACCCCCCCGTATTCTTTAATTTGTCTAAAAGAGAATGAGGCACGAAAATGATTAAAGGGGAACAAGTTCTGAATTTCTTAACTTCCTTAATACCACTTGAATGGTGTACTACCGGTGTTAGATATACCTAGACTTAGAACCCTCGACTCAATACTGGTACCCTGGTTAACAGCTACACTAGCCTCAGCATGCATGAGCTCTTCATCAATAGCCTCACACATCTGCCGCACGAAGCTCGGGCCTTCAAAATGGGTAAAGTTGGAGAATATAGAGTCGTATGGGAATTCACCTTCTCTACGACCCCCTGAAAACATAGGACATAATTAAGTCTAAAGAATCCATAAGAGAACTAGTTAAAGGTTATATAGTAGTGAAACGTTACCTTCTTCTCCACTGGTAGCTACATTGCCACGTAACTCTGCATCGCGAGCGCGTGGATCAGTATATGACTTACGCACTTATTTTTGTCAAAAGTTATATTTTTCATTGTAGTCAAACCTGTTACACCGTTTATCGATTATAACTTTGAAGAAAACAAAGAAAAGTTGATCTTTTTATAAGATCTTCTTACAATGAAAAATAAGATTACAACTTTATCAAACAAAACACAGAGGACGTTTATCACCCGATGCTTTGCATGTGATCTTTACCTGTGCCGGGGACGCGTTAGTCCGTGGACCACCACAGATCAGATCCGATTGACAAGTGTAATTAATGCTCTTGTTTCACAAAGGAAACAATCGCAGCAGCGATAATCACGACCAAGCAGGATTGTGGCTCTTCTCGAGATTAAAACAAAGTTTAATCCAGAGGAAGGTGGGGGAGAGAATCTCAGATCTTTCGAAGGCTTTTTCCTTTATGAAAAAGTTTGCCAAGATTTGTTGATTCTTCTCTAAAATTCGTGGTCTACTGTTCAATTGGATAGCACTTCACCCTCAGATTTCAGATCCTTTTAACTGAGGGCTCTGGGCTTCTATTTATAGACTTTTGTCACCGTGTTTTTTGATAAGATCAAGTGTTTTGATGTTATCTGTAGTTGATAACCACACAGGCGTACTTAAGGATAACTTCAGAATAATTGGGAAGGTCCTGGGACGTAAGAATTCTAATAAAACATCGAAATCTACGTTTTGAGAGGTTTGGGAGGCCCAGATAGTTGTTGTGACTTAGGGCAGTGCGAGTCACCATTTGGTGACTCGGAGCAGTGCGAGTCATCATTTGGTGACTTGGCCTGTACGAGTCACCATTTGGTGACTTAGAGTAGTGCAAGTCACCATTTAGTGACTCGGCCTGTGCGAGTTACCATTTGGTGACTCGGAGCAGTGCGAGTCACCATTTGGTGACTCAGAGCTGTGCGAGTCACCTGGCTAAGTGTTATGTCTTTCTGACTCTTTTGGCTGTTTGTAATTCCTTCGGTTCGCTTGCTCTCCCTTTTACGCGAGTTTCGTGAATTTGTTGACTTGTGCGCTTTTACCGATTTGCTTCATGCATTTCATCGTCGTCAGATAAACTTCTTTGACTCAGATAATGTCATTGATCATCTTCTCTTTGTCTTGAGCTACGTGGGGGAGCCCATCGGCAATTTTGGACGTCTGCAGATACCCCC